CCCCAAAACCCCAAAACCCCAAAACCCCATAACTAAACATTTGAAGTCAATATTAAAATTAATAATTAAATTTGAATTCAAAATTATGAGCAACAACAATAATGGAGGAGACAATTAGCAGCCGAATTCTCAGTAGCAAAATGTCGGCAATACCTTTTTTAAGCCACCCAGTTTTAATAACAATAATGCTTAAGGAGCTGGTGGAGGTGGTCCCAGTTCCTTCTAATTCAAGGCAAATACAGGCTCAACAACAGGGGGAAGTTTCTCTATGGGCTAAAATTCAGGCAGCAGACCTCCTAGTGTTGGTGGATCCTAGGCGACTCAATTTAATTTCCAGAAGCCAAATTTTACAGGCTTAAACAATAATGGATAATAACCTAATTCATAAGGTAACACTAATAATTTTACCGGATGGAATCCAAATGCAAGTGGAGCAGGCAGTTTTAAGTAGAATAATGGCAATTCTGGCAATACTAACAATAATACAGGAGGAAATTAAGGTCAGAATAACAACACCGTGAGTGGAGGGGGTTAGCATAATATTACATTTGGGCAGAGTCAAAGACCCTCATTCGGAGGATCCAATTTAGGTCAAAGTGCTTTCAAGCCTCCATCATAGAGTGGTTTTTAATTAACTTAAAATCAGCAGAATTAACCATCCTAACAACAGTAATAACAATAGCAATAGTAGCAATAGTAGCAATAAAATCCTTCCAGCTAACAGCAGAATAATTCCTAAATTAACAATAATAGCAATATGAACACTGATGGATCTGGTTAAACAACAAATAATGGGTAAGGAAAGCTAAATTTTCAACCTAGTGGGCCAAGTTCATTCAAATCTAGCTTACCAATTTTCAATGCAGGATAGTAATCTAATAGCACTACAGGAGCAAAGGCTACATTTGCTTTTCAAACACCGTCATAGAGTAATTAGAATCAAAGCAATCAGTAAAACTAGTAATAAAACGATTCTTAAACTTAAAATTAGACCAAGCCTGGTGAGTAAACTAACAGTTAATAAAATAATTAATAGCAATAACAGCTTAATACTACCACAGGCTAAAACACTCAATAATAATAACCACAAGTCTAGTCTTAATCTCAGCAGCAAAATTAGCAATAATAATAGCAGTAGTAGACACCAGGCTTCAAGCCTTTCAATCTATAAACTTCTCAAAATAACCAACAATTAAATTAAAGCTCATAACCTCCTAGTCAAAGTTAAGGTTAGAACTCGGGGCAACCAACTTTTTCATTTAAGCCTCCTGGTTCATTAAGTTCAGCTCCCAACATCATCTAAAATCCTGCTTCATTGACAACTGGCCAATAAAATTCTTAGAGCTAATCTAATCCTACTTTCAATTTTATGGGCACCAATTAGCCATAAAATTAATCATCTTAATCAATTGGATTAAATTAACAGCAATAATAATAGCCAAACTAAAATCAACAAAATAATACTACTCAATCCTCTCAACAAAATCAAGAGGGTAGTAACTAATAGCAATTGTAGTAATAGACATAATCGACTACAGCATTTAAACCAACAACAAATTTAACATCCTCAACATCATAATCAATTGGCTTAACAACTTAATCAACTGGCTAAACATCTTCTGCAATTTAGAATAATACTACTTCTTAATCATAAGCAAATACAGCAACAAACCCAACTTAGCAACAATAGCAAGTTCTAAAACCTTAGGAGAAGATTGCATAGGATGCTATTCTTAACAAGAACATTCAAGAATGTCTGGACTAATTTGAAGAAGATCTAAGATCTAATAGTCAGAGTTTTCAGAAAATTATTGATAAAGTCAGGCAAGAAGAACTTGACCTGATGCAAGATATTGAATAGATCTAGTTGATATCTGAGTAAAATAGAGTCACCAAGGACATTCTTGAGTTAAGCAAGCAGAAGTGCTCATGCATTCTAAATGAGTAAAAGGCAACTTTGACATTACTAGATGAGATTGATATGGACTTGACAAGACTTCTGAATCAGCAAGAGTTCTTTACTGATTCTAGAAATCTTTAGAATCTAAATGAGTCTCCAAATAGTCAATTGATATTTCCAAAGTTGTAGGAATTGCAAGCTGAAATGGAACAAAATGATTAATTGATTACTTAATTTCTCACATAATAAGTATAATATGAAAGGCAAGAGCAAGAATAAAACTTTCAGCAAGATATTGAGTCGTCAGAATTCGTTCATGCCAACATTGAGGATGCTCTTATAACATTATTTAATTCCCTTGATTAGATTGAGAGAGAAAGTTTCCAATTAAGCTTTCAAACTCAATCAGTCAATAAAAGACTTATGCTCAAATATGGTGTATCACTGAATTAATGACCCCTAAAGTAATTCTGATTTTCTTAATTTCTTATTATTTTCTTAATGTTATATTCGTGGGGTTTTGGGGTTTTGGGGTTTTGGGG